TCGTTGTAGCAGATGCATGAAAAGTGGAGAAGGCCCTGGGGACGAGGTTGAGGCGGATGTTTGTTGACTGTTTGTAAGCGTGTTCTTCACATTGTTCTTCACAACCTTCCCCTCTCTGACACACTCTCGCCGTCATCTGGATTGCTTAATCCCGTTGTGTGGATGAGAAATTGCACTGGAAGAAAACAAACGATTGAAGACAACCTACAGTGAACGGTGAGCAGAAATTCACCTCATAGATACATAGTGTATGGCGAAGCTAGGGCGTTCACATTATCGCGATAACTTCAAGATGTACAGGAACCTTGTTTTAAGCTTGTTTATTTATGAAATCGTTGCGGAAACTTTAGTCGGGTCTATAGATGTTTGTTCCTGTTTTGTAACGGGAAGTGTGTTTGCTGTGTTCGTTAATAACAGTCTAGCGACAGTTGTTTGCATAACAACTAGAATTTTGAAAGCTGCACTACCAGGTGGCCATGCAGATATTTTGTATGTCGTAAACTATGGGTTTCTACTCCGAATAAAGATTCCCTTTTAAGCTCAAAAAGCTTTGTTGTTAGTTTCGACGTTCAGTGTACTTTGATGTAGGACTGGATATGTGCCATAAACTAATTTTGAAGCTCATGACAAGCTTACAGTTCTACGCTGATAGGTTCTGTCGTTAATTCCCTTACAGAATTTTTATCTGACTAAATTTTGCAGTGAAGGTAACTTTATTCCAGTTAGGAAGATAATGTTTCTTCAACTACTAACAGGTATGTAGCTGTCATAACATGAAATCGACCTTGAATGAAGCCTTGAAAGCGCTGATGCCTTTACCAAAATTGTTTTTATTATGCAAGTGACGGATGTCAATATTACATGTATTTGGAAATGCTGAGTCACTATTAATTAATTCAGACATGGCTCTGGTTATTTGTGGTGGGAATTTGAGAAGCTTTTAATGATGTGTAGCTTGGAGACAGAGAGAATCAGTAGGCAAGCAAAAATACTACATCTGATTTGTCTTTGTAGTACTGGCTGTGGCAAATTGACTCAAGGTTCAATTCCTTTGGGATGATCCAGATTCCCCTTTGGGAACTAGAATATTATTATATATACTCAAGATTTCTATATAAACAATAGCCTCCATCTGACACAAAAATACATAAACAATAGCATCCATTTGGCACAAAAATATGCTTGGATATATGTCTGTGGACCTTATTTGTTCTGAGACGTGAACAGTGAGCTTTGGGGAACAGGTAATATTGAAGGACGACTATCTGAGCATGTTTTTAAAATCAGTTGGAGGCTATTGTGTTCATTGTCTGTTAAATAATTTTCTTGTCATGCAGGATCTAAAAATTGGGGAATATTCACTTGGATATTCCTCAGGCTTAGCAAGGGAATATTTGGTCACATGGCACCTTTAGACCAATCGTGTATGAGGGAAAATATTTGATGGATTGTAATGTGGATAGTTGACTAAGGCTCAGCCTGAGTCAACTTAATCACACAAAAAAATCTCAAGCTCATTATGTAATTGTTTTAGTGTTTACAAAGCTTCTAGTCAAAAATGCAAAGAAGTGGCTGTCATTTTATTAACAAAGGCACACTGGCAGGCTACTCACTATATGTACATATATACATGAATCTACAATGTTCAGATTAGATAGTAGTCAGTAGCCAATCAGAGAGCAGCAATGTGATGAATGTTAGTAGATTTATTCTAAATGTAAGCATATTGTACTCTGGACATGTACTTTGGGGTCCAGTTTTTAAGACTTGAGTGATAGACAAATTATGTACCATATCATTGTGCAATAAGGTAATTTCAATCAGGATTTAACTATTTGGCTTGCCAGTATGAGTTGTCTTTATCTTGATATCTGATGCTGAGGTTTCACTAAACTTTTTCTGGTTTTGACAGCACTGTCACTGTTGAAAGTTGCAATTGCAGGTAAGATGGTATTAATTTAAATTACTTTCTATGAAAATAATTACAGTGAGGCCCCAGTTATGGTCTCGGGTACCCAAGACAATTTTCCCCCTGAGGCAACTTGACTGAGTGTTTATTATTATTATATGTGAAAATTAATGTACAGTCCCTGTAGGCTGAGTCAAAGTTGACCCTGCGTGATTATTCATAACCCTTATTGAACAATCAAATATCCAGATATCCCTCTTTCTTTGAGTTTCCCTCGGTCGTTCGATCACAGTAGGTTTTGCCGAGTTAATTTTCACTTCTTTGATACAAATTTCTGCTTTAAATCCTAAATCTAGGCATTATGTAACACTCAACACGCTTAGAGTTGTCCTGGTCAAGCAAGCCAAAGCATTTATATTACGAAGAAAAGTGGTCACGCTTGCCAGGGTTACCCTACCTGCTGAGGGAAGACAACTTGCCCACCCAAGTTGTCTCACCCCCCAAGACAGGTTCTCAATTCTAATGTAAACGACTGGTTGATATTGCAAAGAAAAAAGCTAAAAGTTACCTTGGCCTGGGTACAGTAACTAGGGGGGAGGGTTGTCTCGGGTGCCTGAGACCATATAAATGGGGCCTGAGAGGTACGGGTGGGGGGGAAGGGTAGCATTAGATAAATTGACTGGTCGCGAGAACCACCTTGCTTGCCTGGTTTGAACATCTTCAGAACTTTTAAATTTCTGATAAATAGTTCAGTTCAAAAAGGCTTGCCTGCCTGCCAACTTCAATAATAATATTGCTCTCCACGTACATGTACTGGCTACTGTAGTTCAATCTATTAATGACAGTCTGACTAGTATAAAATGAGATGTGTACAGCATAGAAAGTGGGAGCTGTTTGAACAGCTAGTATTTGTTTAATGTAATTGTATATTTATAGTACTGCAGAAAATAAAAAGGTTTAATTTGAACATGTAAGAAACAAAACACAATCAGCCAGACAGATGTAACGGAGGCAGTATGGCCGAGTGGTTAGGGCACTGGACTTGAAATCCGGAGGCCGCAGGTTCAAGTCCCACTCTGACCACTTAGCTGGAGTTGTTTCTCAGTAGACCCTAGTTCAACTCCTTGGTCATGCTTGTAAATAGCCAACTGGTCTGCCTCTCACTAGTTGGGGTTTTTAACCATGTTATTTTCATTTGCATTATTTGTTTCATCATTTGGTTTCATTGGCCCTGAAAAGCCCCACTGGGGGAGTGGTCAATTAAGATTTTTTTTTTTAAGATATTTAAATCCAAAAAATTCACTAGTTGTGGATTTCCATGTGGCAAGATCATTAACTGCCACTGTGCCATAAGTTATTTACCATTAACTAAACTACATGTAACTGGTGTTACTTATTTTTCCCCTATTTCAGTTTATTGTGACCAGACATTTACTGCTTCTACTGGAATAGTATCATCACCATCCTTTTCGACTAGTTCTTTTTATGCCAACAACTTGAACTGCCAGTATGACATCCAAGTTGCTTCTGGTTACGGAATCAAGCTGTCGTGGTCTACGTTTGACATCAAGGGTAACATGCCAGACTGTTACGATGATTATGTGGAGATATACATTGGATGTGGAAGACGCTCAATCGGAAAATACTGTGCTGAATATCGTTTACCAGACATGCCTTTTAATGTGTACTCCCCTGACAACTGCCTGCATATTAAGTTCCATTCTAACAGCTCTGGCGCTGGCCATGGGTTTCGAGGCTCTTATTCAAGGTTTTCTCTTTTCTCTGGTAATTAAATTGAAATTTTATTTTCATACAATCATGTATACATGCTATTATACTTGTGGTAAGTGAATTAAGCTGGACATGGTATGCTACATTAAATTAGGCACAGGTCACTTTATATCAGCAGGGTTGTTATTAGAAGCCGGCTACCGGCACCTGTCTACTTTGAAAGGAGTACCCGGCTTCTTTAAGTATGTGAAGTACAAAATTAAAAAAACAAAAATACACATGTCAGCATCTAACAAAAATTAACTATTCTTTGTGAGTTGGGTAATACCTTTAAAAACCTTTTTTGTCAATTACCTTGCATTGATTTCTTTTGTAAGAAAAGTGTTTTTTGGGCAGTTGCACTTTACATTCATCAGGCTTTTCTCCTGTGAAGTGCCTGTGCTGTTACATAACTCTTACACGTGACATGCTGCATGTTTGTAATACCATGCATTCTCATGGTTCTGTACATTAAAATGGTCAAATTCATCATGATGAGAAAACGCAGATCTCAAGGGGTCCTGGATAATTTTTTTCAGTTGTATCCAAAAGGTTAAAAGGTTAGCTTTAGTAATTTAATGCATTTCAAGTTTTGCATGCTGGTTTATCAGTAACAGTAACATATGTACATGAGCACTAATCTTAATTTGCATTTATTATCTGATTATAGTGCACTGAACCTGAACATGAAATTTACACATAACGCAATTGCTTTACTTGAATAGCCTATAAAAAGCTAAGTGTTTTGTAACACAGGCTTAAAAATCATTTCTCTGTCTGCTGAATAGAAAAACATAAATTCAGGACTTACAGGCTCTGCTAAAACTAAAAGTGCCAGAGAATAAAACCAAAATGGAATGCGTAACACATCACTTTTAGCAAGCAATTCTGTAATGTCTAGCACTGTTTAATTCCAGTAGAATTGTGTAAACGAGGACTAATGACAAAACAAGAATTTCCCTCTCAGAATCAAGGAAAATGCATTCCTGGGAGTTCAATTTTTCAAAATTTTCCGGGTGAGCACGCTCCTGGACCCCCTAGCTTCTTGGGCCTTTGGCCCTCAACTAATTCAGGTACCTGCCTACTTTATACCACATGCCCTTCTATGTGAAAAATTAATAAAAATCCTGTATCAGGGCTGAAAAAAGTGCCATCCCATTGTCCCAGACAAGTACACATATATTTTCCTTCTGAGCAAGTAACTTTTCATTCTCACCAGCCTGATGGGCAAGAGATCAAGCAAGTCATCTGTCTACAAAATCATTGATTAAAAGAGCAAACTAAGACTTGCCCAGGGCAAGCAAACTTTGAGAGCTACCTGTCTCGAGGGCAAGCTGGAATTTAAGTTTTCGTTGAGCCCTGTATATTTTAAAAAAATTCACAGGAATGGGAATTCTTCACGACTGTAAATGGAAAGAATTTGTCTGCATACATGACTGATTTCCATGTACCATAAATCCTCAATGAGACACCCACTCATTGAATTAAGTGCACCCTTAAAAAGCAGTGTTCAATTGAGTAAGAAATGGAGGCATATGACTACAGTGTACATGTACATGGACATGTTTGTTAAGTGTAAAACTGCAATTTCAAGCCAAAATAATTAAATTAATTTAGAAAAAAATTTACTATGGCATGGGATGGGAAATTAATAATATTATGCTCCCAGAGTGCTTGGTATTGAATTAAAAGATGTTGTGTGGATGCCATGAACTGATGGAAGATAATAAAAGTAAAATTTTCAGCAAATTTTTACATTGCAGTTGAACCTCCGGTAAACAACCACCTAATATGCCAAGCCTAGATGGTCGTTTAAGGGAGGTGGTCGCTTGCAAGAGATTAGACCATATTGGGTCAAAATTTTACCTCATTAGCATATGCTAACTGAAGAGACTTACCCCAAGTTTGAATTGTTTTATTTGTGTGAAAAGTCAATTTTGAGAAAAATCTGGTACTTCCCATTGAGAAATTTGCGTATCTTTTACAACCCAGGAATGGGATAATGTTACAACACCTTATTATCCAGTTTCTGCTCTATTATCTGTCAAGTGGCTTACGGGAGGTTGAAAACAAAAGAAAGTTTCAAACTTTTAGCCCTAAAAGTGGTTGCTTTCACTTACGAGAGGTGGTCGCATACAGGAGGTTCTAAATATAGTGATTTGACTGTGAAACTGTTGGTATTTTGGAAAACAGGTCCCTGAGGATAGGTGGTCGCGATGGGAGGTTCAACTGTATTTCGTTGTGCAGAACTTTCAATCGCCCAGAAAAAGAATGTGGAATAAGGCAACACATTCCAGTCAGCTTGAGTTAGCCATGATCATCACTAACGTTAATAGCACAAAACATGTAATATGGCGTGCTACGAAATGCAACTAAGCGTTGTGCATTGCAATATGGAATGTGCTGGATGGTTATGTATTGCATCTTTTTCTATGTGCTGCTCCACACTGATTGCTTTTCATTTGTTTTAATTATAGGCGGGCCAAGTGGTGTTGGGGGTAAGTGATTACATTTAGATTAGGTTCAATTTTAATTAATCTGTTTCCTTGTGGTCCTGCGTAATAGTCGGCACAAATATAGTTGGTAGATGTAAATACATGTACATTAATTTATGCAACTTAATAGATTTTATTCGTAATATTCGAAACCTCTTACTAACCCCGCACAAGGGCCGTTTTGTGGAATAGTGGCCCTAGGTCGTGGCAGTACGGAACAAGTGCAGACATCTGAGGGCCAATGTTCCCCAATATGGCTCAAGCAAGTTATGTTTGTAAGTATTTTGTTATATGGCACTCAGGCCATGCTTTCAAAAACAAAAAAATACATGGCTTATGACCAATTCCATGGAAATAGTCTATGGCAATATTCCGATCAAGAAAGAGCCAGCAAGCATGCTTGGATTTATATGTACCTCGAGACTACAGTACCTTGCTATACAATGATCTTTATTCAATGAAACTAACCTGTATTTAATAAATTGTGAACTGTTTTAGCTATTTTAATAACATTCTGCTCATTCTAACCTGGTGTTGCTTTATATCTTTTACCAAATTTTGAAAATTTGTATTTTTTTTTTCTTTTAACAAACAGCCGAGTGTTCTTCATACTACGAGAGTTCCCCTAAGACTCTGACCTCCACTTCTGGAGTTTTCAGTTCTCCAAGATGGCCTAGGAATTACCCAACTCTTAGGGACTGTTATTGGAGGATTGACGTTGAGGTTGGAAAAAATGTTAAAATTGCTGTTATGGACGTTGATTTGGAATATCACTCTGGGTGTGATAAGGACAAACTGAAAATAAAAGGTAAGTAGAACATTTGCTTTACATGTAATTCCCAAGTTGAAAACCATCATCGTGGCTTTTATTGTGACAATGCCATTTAGAGAGCAGTTTTTAATTGAGTGTCGTAAAACCAAAAGCAGCGTAATCACTCTTGCCAATCATAAAGGACCCAGACAATCCAGTTAACCAATCAAAACTGTACGCAAATACATCTAGACAGTACAAAGTGCGTAGACTGTAGTAAAACTTGTGCGAGCGAGTGATGGTTGTGTTTTGTTTAATCCTGATTGGTCCACAAAGTAGCTTGAGATACAGGCTTTTCAAATTGAAATAAAGAACAACAGGCAGAAATTGTAAAGTAGGTGGAGCACTATTCGGTCACAATACATGTGACAATGTGGGGAAGATTGCCAGAGTGGGTTACCCTCTGCTGCATTGGGGGGGAGGTGGGGGGTGGACAGAGTGCTGGCCCTTGAGAATTTTGAAAATCTGTGCCTGTACATGTATCATGGAGTGAATTTATTCAACATTTAGAATGTTAATAGTTGCGTTTCAATTTATGTACTGTGTATGGTGTTTCATAATAGTGCTTTATATATATAAAATACCTTTGTAGGGGGAAGAAGTGGAGATTCATATGATCGATCAGACACAATAAAGGATTCAATGTGTGGGAAACGGAATCCATTTTACTTTACGTCATCTGATAGGAGAATTTGGATCAGGTTCAAATCCAACAGTTTTTTTACTGATCGAGGGTTCGTTGTTGGATATGTCATGTATGATTCAAGTAAGTGATATTATAAAGTTCTTCATTCCTTAAGGCTACTTTTAGAACTCGGTTCAGTAGTACAAAATGTACTGCTTGTTATTACATGAGTGTCCAACACCCTGTATGAAGTTTGATGGACATTTAATTTCGGAGTAAAAGACCAGGAGATTTCTTTGTTCGAGAATAATGCGTCATATGTACAATAATGCAAATTGTCCTTTAGTTTACCAGGTGTAAATATCCTTTAAGCGTACAAAACAGTCCTCTTTGAAAGGACATATTTAAAGGAAATAAACAAATCTAAAATCTACTGGTAAATACATGTAAATGCACTTTCAGAATATTCAATCTTTGAAAAATGTATTTTAAGGACTGATACTGAATATTTGTTATTAGTATAATTTCAAGAGGTGAATATAAGAATTGGACATTCTGATTGGTCGAAAAGCTCATCATATAATGCTATATTCACCCCGCTGGAGCCTGGTTACTAAGCTCGTCATCTTTGCCATCGTGGCAAGTAAACATGGCAGACAGTTGCTGAATGAAGTTTTCATTTTATTCAAAAGACATTACTCCAAGTCCAGGATATTTGAAGGGATGGAGAAATTTCAAAATGACTGCTGTCACCCTTGGGCCAAAAAGCTTTTCAAGAACTCGTATTCAAGACGTATAAGAATTGTAAACGCAGTGTTTGTATCGATTGCCAGCAGGTCAGATGGATTGACCGAAATTTTTTTTTTTCAAACTAAAGCTACTCCTTTTTAGGCGATGATGACAACTGTGAATGAAGTCAACAACGATAAAACAGGGTACCGGATGAATTTATTTTTCATAGTGTTTCGCTCGTTGGTTTTACTGCCAAGCTCTATGGGTAAATTGATTGGCAATCGATGTACAATTGTAAGCTTATTATTAAAACTACGGCTGCATACGTGTATGCAAACCGTAAGGTCATTCCCCAGTATTGCACTGTGCATCCCTACTGTGCATAATTTCACACGTGATTAGTGTGCACGCATTAAAAAATGGCGCCTTTTTCTTTACGGCTGGACCTCGCCATAGAAGTAAATCATCATTACCTCGAAAACAAGTACGGTGACCTATCATTTTTTTCTGTTGTTTTGAATTGAGTAACAAATTTCTCTATGTAAAATAAATATGGACCAATTCTCAGTGGAGAACATAAAGAAATCGTAGAAAACGTGAATTTAGCAAGCAATCGTGACTATAATCATGGTGCTGTTATAAGGATTAATGAGGTAAAACAAGGTTCTGTTGCTCCTAAACGAACATGGGGACCCCTCATTTTTATTTCAAAATTTAAGTTCCTATAACATAGACAATCAATAGGCAAAGTTTGACAAAAATCTCCGTGCAGGTTCTATCTCAACCTTGTCCCCAGGCACTCTCTCCTCTGCCTGCCTTGGTCGTGGTTCTATTTCAGTGGAATGACCTTAATAATAAAAAATGAGTCATAAGGATAAAATAAAGAGTGTTTGTACCTGTAAAATGTCAGGTCAGGACTCATGAAACACACATAGGCCTCACTCAGTAAAGTCATACTAACGATTATTTGACAATGGCGAAATGTTCTAATTTTCCCATGTTTGGATAGCCGACTATCACCTTTCAGCAAATACCAATTTACAAACCTCTTGATATATTAAAGTTGAGTACAAAGATTGAATGTCTTTCACAAACATTGTAGGCTCGATACCTACAAGTTTAGCGTGCCCAGTTGTTGTGCTGTCGTGTTTTGCTTGCCTTGTGTTCTGAACAACTCCAAGGCCATTTGAAGCAACTAAGACAGGCGGTGGTTTGAACGTCATTAGGACTTTGTCGATGAGAACAGGAAAAAAAAAAAGAAATGCGCTGCAAGAGTTGGTCGTTCCCAGACCTAATCGCGTAGACAAAATTCAAAATGGCTGACACGTAAACAAAGGTAAGATGCATAGAATTGCAATTAGTTCAGGCACTTGTGGGAAACTTGTTTCAACAAAATGGGGAGTTCAAGAACTTGAGGTTGATAATATACAGGGTGTGCCAAAACCTATGTCCGATTGTCCAGGAAAAGTAGAAATTTAGTTTGGCCATGTAAATCTTAAACATGACTTGTCCGTGGGACAAGCACATTTCTGATGTCTAAACAACTACAGAAACAGTGGAAAATTGACTTCAAGTTGCAGTAGAATTGAAATATGTCTAACGGTTNTCCCAGACCTAATCGCGTAGACAAAATTCAAAATGGCTGACACGTAAACAAAGGTAAGATGCATAGAATTGCAATTAGTTCAGGCACTTGTGGGAAACTTGTTTCAACAAAATGGGGAGTTCAAGAACTTGAGGTTGATAATATACAGGGTGTGCCAAAACCTATGTCCGATTGTCCAGGAAAAGTAGAAATTTAGTTTGGACATGTAAATCTTAAACATGACTTGTCCGTGGGACAAGCACATTTCTGATGTCTAAACAACTACAGAAACAGAGGAAAATTGACTTCAAGTTGCAGTAGAATTGAAATATGTCTAACAGTAATAACAGCAAACCTTTAACTTGAAAAAATTAGTGTAAAGATTCCTATAAATTTCGCTATTCCACAGCCATTCATTTGTTTCGGTGACCTCATCTGGCCTCAGTAACCAGGCCTGTTAAGACTAATCCCCAGGCTCTAAATTTAAGTCAATAATGGCGGAATCTCAAAAGCGTCAGTCCACGCTGTTTTCTTTCCTTCCAAACCAGTCAACCAAATAATCAAGCAAAGAATCCACTGAGTCTTCGGGTAGTTATGGCAAGAAGAAAGGCAAGGTCCATGCAAAGCAGGATTATGAAAAGGAGAGAAAACGCAGTGATATTCGCTTTAGGTTTAGGAGAATTAAATTACTTACAAGGCTTAAAATGTCATGAAAAAGAAAAAAAACACCTGAATGTTTTTGAGTCAATAAAGTCATCGTATCTGCAGGGACTGGGTATAAGGTGAGTTACTTGTAATAAAGTCGAAAATGTTCGTTTTTTTTTTTTTTATCTTTAATAACATTTGTACCCTTGTAAATAGTTCACAATTAATGTTGCTATAAATTAAAATACACCAAAAGCCACATGTTGAATTGATTTTATTTCTAAATACAGTTTGAATAAATCTTTTTGGACAAGCACTTTTGGGTCTCGGACAACCAAATTCTCTATGATGGTTGTCCGACAGACAAGTGGATTTCAAAATTTTTCTCTTACTCTGATGTAACGTTTAAATAAGGCTAGGAGATGCCTTTGGTTTGAGTTTTCAGGATTTTGGGGAAAAAAATTACGGATACGCGTACGAACACCCCAAGTCTTCATTTGATCTGCATTTGATCCTGGTGTTTTTTATTATTAATATTTTATCTTACCCTCAGTCTGCATTTTACGACTCGTCTGCAGTCTGCGTTTTACACTGATCGGTATGCAAACAAACAATTGCATCTGTGTTTTTATGTTTTAGTCCGTTATTTTGTTGTTCTTGATATTCACCTCTGAAAATTATACTTAAACAATTGTTCACCTCAGGCCCAGTGAACATTGGTGAATATTCACCTCAACTTTGTCTCAGTGAGTTTTCACTAATGTTCACTTCGCCTTTGGTGAATAATAATTTATTGTTAAATATTAGTTATATTTTGTATATTTACGATGTAATTTATATATGTTTGACCACTGATCAAGGATGAAAGCAACTTTTATCTTTCTTCCACTTACTTCAACAGAAACAGGATCAGGAAGCAGCAGAAGTACTTCTATAATTGGAATTGTGGTTGGCATTATCATTCCAATAGTTATTATCGCTTGCATTTGCTATGTGTGTGTATACAGAAGGAAGCAAGCCATGAGGGCACAACAACAAGGAGCTGCAGCACAACAAATGACTGTACAGCATCCTCCTCCACCCCCACCAGCAGGCTATGGACCACCCCCTCAGCAAGGTTATGCACCTCCTCCACAACCTGGCTATGGGCCACCCCCTCAGCAAGGGTATGGACCCCCTCAACAGCCAGGCTATCCCACTCAAGCACCTCCACCCTACAGCCAGGTTGCAGGGACAGGCTACCCACCGCAAGGTAAAGTTGATGAAATCAATGTTTTGTGTACTTTTTTGAACCATGTGATCAATTTAATATATTAATCTGATAACCTATTTGGACTAATAGCAGTTTATTCTCTTCTTGCAGTGAAGTAAAATTTTAGTAGTAGTAACAATCTTTTATTAGGAAGCTCCATCACTAAAAGTGGTTTACATAGAGGTCCTAATACTAGATATATACTATATGATGATTTAATTACTGATAAGACTTTTTCTGCGGTTTAAACGAATGAATGAATGAACAAACGAACGAACAAACGAACAAACAAACGAACAAACGAACAAACGAATGAAACCATGCTGTAAAGCCTGCTGTTCAGTTATGTTTTAACATGCATGTTAAGGTCTTGGATACACAGTTCAGCATTATTGTACAATACATGTATGTCTGAATTGAACCATGTGTTAATATTCTGCTCGTAATCTACGGCATACACATAAGCAGCAGGACTTAGCCTCGGTATATTCTTCGCTACTTGATTAGGATCCCTTTACCAATGTCGCATTACATACTGTCTTAGTATTCAAAATTACTTGTTGCATTTACAGTGGAATGCATATTTTTGGAACATTCAATTTTTCAAAACTCCTGATGCTTTGGGAGTCATTTCCCTCCGCTCAGTCTAACACTAACTTTACCCTAGATTTATTGACTGTCCGATTTTTCAACCCAATTCTTGTTTCTCTTGGAAATGATTGGAACAGGTGCAATTATGCATGGTTGTTTGCAATTAATTTTGTCAGTGTTCCATCCCCTACAGTGTATGTCGTCACATTATAAGTATTGTTATCACCTCTGCCCTGACAACCTATAATGAAATCAGGCAACTCTGATCTGAAAGGGTCAAAATCCAAAACAACAGCCATACAATGTGACAGCCATTGCCTTGCATTTGTGCTCAACTAAAACCCCACCCCCCACCCCACAGAAAAGCTTGAGTTGTGTTAAGACCTTGCAGATTCATTTTCCATAGTTCTGATTGTCAATTTTAATCACACAGACAAATCCGGACCCTACCCTTACCCCCCTGAACAACCTGGTGGAGTGTCTCCTTATCCTGGGGGAGCCCCACCGTACCCTCCTGGACAGCCTGGGGCAGTACCACCATACCCTTCTGGACAAGCTGGGGGAGTGCCTCCCTACCCACCGGAGCAGCCACCTGGAGGTGTAGCACCCTACCCCTCAGCACCATCTACTGCAACTGCTCCACCTTACCCCCCACAGTAATCATCCAAATGCATCAAGTAAGGTCAGTGGTAGTTCCCAGAATATAGTAGACTGTGGTTAGTGATTTCCATTATGCTTGTTGCATCTCTGCTTGACAATATTTTATGTTGACTGTATATCTTCACACTCTGGGAGAATTCTTGTAAAACAATGACGCTTGCCTATTTGCATGTTGTAAATGACATTTGGTGTTCTACTCATTAGCACAGCTGCAAAACAGACGTTTTAATATACCAATACGAACAGGGCCCAAATATTCCCATTTTCTCAAAACGTTCAGAGTATTGACTATTTCTTTCTTTTTTTCTTCAACATAGATCCTGTTTTGTGACAACTCTGTCATAACCGCCTGCGTCTGCATAGGAGTAGCTGCTTATTAGAATTAAAAAGTTGAGGATCACTATACATGTAAATGGTCCTTAAAGTTAATTGGCAAATTTTCCAGACGGTATAATTAATAGAGTTTTGCATCTTTCTGCCTTCAAATCATGTTGAACGTGGATAACAGAAATGTGAACTGCAAGACTGCCGCTCTATTCCCGTAGTTTTGGTTGCAATTTAATCCTTGAGATACTTTGTGTGGTTTTACATGTAGCAATGCTATACAAACAATTGAGTGACTGATAACGAGAGAGAATCAAAAGAATGGCTTGCAAAACTCCATGTGGAAGGTACTTAGTTATCTCAGGTCCCAGATGGTCTGAACTTGAACTCATTTGGATATTGGTGACTGTATTGATGTAAATGATGCTTAGTGCCCATGGGGGCCGGATTCACTGTGTCTTCCTATACAGTGGAAGCCTGTTAATCTGGTCACCATATTAAATAGGTTCTTGGAGTAAGAAAATGACTGACTGAACTTTTGTTCAGGCCAGAATAAAGTGGTCGTGATAACGAGGTGGCCGTATTAACGGAGTGGCCGTGAGGCGGGTTCCATTGCAATAAGTTTGATCCTAATCACTGATTGAATACAAAATTTGAAAGGCTCTTGTGAAATACCCGTCAAATTTATAATATAATAATATAATAATAAAGTCAGCATTTTTGCTGGTTGTTACTGATGATCTATTGGAGGATACACGTATAAATGACGTCATTAACATTCTTTTGTATTTCTTTATTCTCCTACTCACACAAATCCCATAATACACCTCTTTTACCCCCAATAATTTGCATAGGCATTGTTTTAGATTTCTGCTGGAACATCTTCATGTCCCAGGAGAAATTACAAACAATGATTATGCAAAATTGTGGGGAGTTAAAGAGGTATTTTATGGGATTTGTGCAAGTAGAGAATATTACAAGTGGATTTCGTGTTGCCGTGTGTCTGTTCAGTAATAGATCCCAGAAGGCGTCAGAATGTGGTAAGAACATCAGTGACACTCTTGGCGATCGCCTCGTGCGCAACGTTTTTCTTACCACATTTTGACGTCAGCTGCCATCTATTATTGAACAGACGCACGGCAACATGGAATTTACATGTTAATTATTATTTTTGTATTTATTTTGTAGCGTTTCTTTTTGCTTAATAAATTTCATCATGAACAGCCTGCTCTTTCTTTTTTGTTGTATAAGAACTTCTTAGTTTCAAAAAGAACAAAAAAAGAATAGGTTGGGAAAACCTGGGAGGAGAAAATTTGAGGCGCAATGGTGTTGCGTTGCATGCTTTTTGGGCATTAATTTGTTTTACGCGTTTAAGTAACTCGAACGTTGAGTATCCACGCAAATTAATTGTTAGCCCCTCCCACCTTTTATCTCCATTTTTCCAAGATGTGTTGGAAAAACGACTATGCAATTGTACCAGTCACAAAATACCATGCATGTAAAATTTACATTTTTCAGTACCAGTTTTTTTTATAACCTTTCAGTTGCAATAATTTCAGAGTTTCTGAACAAAGAATAAACTACGTCCTTGTAAACGAGGAGTCGACGAGACTCGTCGACAACTAATGTTTTGACGATAACTAATTCTTCGAGATCCGATCGACGTGCTTAAATGTATAAAATTTACTTAATTGTCATCATACTAGTTACCTTATTCTCTTTGACTCGAAAACTTGCTGAGATCATTCGTTTCCGTATAACTTTTTTCTTAATATTTCTTTCCGCGTAGTTAATAAATTTTATAAAACAAGTTTGTTTGATATGCAGTTTACTGCTACTCGACTGGTCGCTATTTAACTTACAAGCAGATCTCTACTGCTAGACAATCTGGTGCAAAATTGTTGTAATTACAATTTCAAAATAGAAAAAATTGTAAACACATCAATCATTTTGGTTTTAAGTGCCGGTCTATTTAGCAGAAGTATCAAGCATGTGACGGCATCAAGTACAAAATGGCGACGCGCTAAAAATGAACACCCCCCCCCCCCCCGGAACACCTCTTTCAGCTTTACGTCTTATAAAGGGTGATTCCGAGTAGACATTTCACCAAAAGAGCTTACGAATGACTGAGGATCAAGTAAAAATGATGATCAGATAATTTCTGGTTCGTGGTTTCCGATAATGATAGTTTTCACTGAACCTTGCTTGTCTCTGGCTGCGGCTGTTTCGAACGTTACATGTTTTTCAGAGCCGTTGCCTGGTGACTGCGCCGCTGACAGGAGTTTGGGCTCGTTCACTGATTCCCTCGGCGTTCGTAAATACAATACAGGTGAAACACTCTTGGTAACCTCGCAATCTCCTCCTGACAGGTCGAAAATAGACTTGTTGTTGAATCGTTTCCTCTCTAATAGCTTTTTAAGCAGTGCCTTTCCCGCAAAGGCAAAGAGGGTGAAAAATATGACACTAAGCATGATCAAAACTTGAGGTTGAAATCCGGCTTTCTCTGTTGAGGGAAATCATTGAAAGAAAAATTTTAAGACAAAGTCAGTTTGTACACAACTAAAGAACACACATGTACTTATAACCAAGATGAAAGGCATGTGCCATATTATGGGATACATTTTATTATTCATGTAAATTTCTTAAATTAACTGTTCAATAGTGGAATTCAGAAACTGGCCACACTAATGCGTTTTAGAAAGTCTCCGTTTTCATCCCAAAGAAAACGAAGTCAAATATTATTTTTGGCCCACACTGTCGTTTTCGTTATGCTTTCATCTGTCTACACCGATACGTTTTCATTCGAAAACCCATACTTTTTCATGTGTTTTCTCCTATCGTCCACACTAATACTCCCGAAAATGCTGATGAAAGCGACTATATATGACGCTTTTTTAATTACCGCATTTTTCAAAAGCCTCTGTCAGTTTTCACTTGTCCACACTAGAAGCCCAGCGTTTTCAAAATGATGCGTTTTCAAATATATGACTCCACTTTAGAAACCGTTTTCGAAAGCCGCCGTTTTTCATCAGCATTGTCGGGCGTTTTAGAGTGGACGGTATTAGTGTGTTCAGGGCCTTAGGTTTTTGTGAGGTTTTTACCCTTCATGTCTTGCAACCAAGTTCTTTTGCAATCCCTTGTTATATTGATTAAACGATGCCCTTGTTTTATTCGCTTCAAAATGAATTCTTCACGTTCCTAATTATGTATAAAAGGTTTTTGCAGCTGGCGTCTAATTCGATTGAAGTTTAGTATCTGAAGCAAGATCAGCAGTCACATACCAGCACTATAAGTGACAAATCCAGCCATGAATCCACGTTTTCCAGTGACCAGGTTGCTTTTAAACTGGATAAATATTGAATCTCCTTCGATAGTTAGAACAAACGGCTCTTTTGTACCGCATTCTTTGGATTTTGTTACAGATCTTCCGTTGCTGAAGCCAACTCCTTGGGAAATTAAGACAGAGAGGATATGCAGTAATAGAGAAACGTGAGAGTGAAAAAAGAAATCAATCAATCAATCAATCAATCAATCAATCAATCAATCAATCAATCAATCAACAAAATAAAACTGTGGACAGAAGGGTAAGTTTAAAGAGAAAGAGGATCGTAACCGGGGGTACCCTGTAAAACGATGTTTGTCAGAACTCATTCTCGTCCCTGGTGTTAATCGTTTCAAAATGTCGAGCACGTGACCAAAAAAAGCTGAGGCACTGGGGCCAAGAATGGCTGGAACTCTGAAGCATAAACCCTCCTTGAATATATATTTTGAAACGACGGTTTTACTAATTACACTGGAGTATGTTCCCTTTGTATGATTCGTGTTAACTGTAGAAGTATTTTAGGCGTGAATCCCTGAGGGGTTAGTAGACTATATAAGAATTTGTAAGTTACGCAAGAGCCGCTCGAGGCATCTCTTTCAACTTTGCTTTTTAATTTTTCTGTTTATTCACTACTGTATTTACTTTAGATGTATCCTGTATCAATAAAGGAGATGCCCGCTCCTGATGCTGTTTTTATGTTTATCAAGATTACTTTAAAAAAAATTATATTCGTTTCAGGGTGATTAGAGTATAAGCTGTATTCCTGACCTCTCACGTTTCATAGCAAACCACGCAATTGTTGAAAATCTTCTTAAAAATTGACAATATAGACTGTTAATAGCGAACCTCCAGTCTTCACCTCCACAAAGTCAGCTTCTGAGCANAATCAATCAATCAATCAATCAATCAATCAACAAAATAAAACTGTGGACAGAAGGGTAAGTTTAAAGAGAAAGAGGATCGTAACCGGGGGTACCCTGTAAAACGATGTTTGTCAGAACTCATTCTCGTCCCTGGTGTTAATCGTTTCAAAATGTCGAGCACGTGACCAAAAAAAGCTGAGGCACTGGGGCCAAGAATGGCTGGAACTCTGAAGCATAAACCCTCCTTGAATATATATTTTGAAACGACGGTTTTACTAATTACACTGGAGTATGTTCCCTTTGTATGATTCGTGTTAACTGTAGAAGTATTTTAGGCGTGAATCCCTGAGGGGTTAGTAGGCTATTTAAGAATTTGTAAGTTATGCAGGAGCCGCTCGAGGCATCTCTTTCAACTTTGCCTTTTAATTTTTCTGTTTATTCACTACTGTATTTACTTTAGATGTATCCTGTATCAATAAAGGAGATGCTCGCTCCTGATGCTGTTTTTATGTTTATCAAGATTAGTTTAAAAAAAATTATATTCGTTTCAGGGTGATTAGAGTATAAGCTGTATTTCTGACCTCTCACGTTTCATAGCAAACCACGCAATTGTTGAAAATCTTCTTAAAAATTGACAATATAGACTGTTAATAGCGAACCTCCAGTCTTCACCTCCACAAAGTCAGCTTCTGAGCACGCGTCAGTGAGCCTGACGTCAAAATCAAAGAATACTAGCTTGAAATGTAAATCGTTCCTGGTAGTCACGTGCCACACGCAGTCCACGTACCGGGGGTAGGGTAGGGGCCAATGTGGGGAGAAGATGTTCCCATGTCGTACATTGGAGCGGAGTTCTTTGCCACAACCATCTGAAAGATGTCATGATTATGAACTGTCAATCGACTAGTTCAGTTTTAGTTATTACATAAAAGAAAGCTATATTCTGGAGATTTAATGTAGAAGTTGCTTGTTTATTCGACTTTTTTTCCGTATTTTTCTCTCAATTTTGTTAGATGTGCCCTGACTAAGACTTAAATTCATCCCTTTGAATGGCCGTACTTGGTTACATCTTTTTCAATTTACAGGAAGCACGTTGGTTGTGGCCAAAAGTGTGGGGAAATTATTAGTTTATTACGATTAAGTTAGAGGTAATATTGAAATCTAACGTGTCTAGATAAACGGTACAGAAATCGCAAGCAGATGTTCTTTGGGAAGAACAGACGACCAAAATTGTTGTATTATTTACAAACGGTAAAAGCTTCTTTCCCCAAGACTCTTCGAACTGGTCAAAGGCGATTTTAAAACTTTAAAATTGTTGAGGTACTTACGGTAATTCTGCGAAACGGCTGAAAGACCAAAGAAGAAAAACAGCATTAAGAATATGAACCAGATTACATCTGTTTAAGAAGTTGGTCCAGTCGTAGGAATGAGTGCTGGTTTGGCAAGTCTTCGTTCAAACAATTCAAAGACCAGCGAGAGCATTGCAGGAGAGTTATACGAAAGCTGTCTGTCGTCATGGCGCCATCAGTTCTTCGGGTGTATAGTTAGTAATATTATTATGATAAGAGATGCTGACTTTCAAAAACTGCTAAATATCTGGTTAATGGGTCCGTGCATTCTTTGGAAAATTCTGAGTTTTTAAACCCACACGCACAAAAAGTATGTAATACATGGCATATCGGTCTCAAATTCCCTGGCACAGTTAATCGTGTTATGCTCTGACGAGCATAACACGATTAACTGTGCTGCGTGGACAGCAGGCCCAGACTTGGGGGACTGGTGCAGCACAAGGAGTGGGGACTGGGTACAGTGTGTAGAATCGCTCCGCATGGAAAAGTTACTGTACAGTGCGAGGGACAGCAGAAGGCGAAAATATGCTCTATATCACAAGTTAAACCGGTAAAGAACAGTTTTCTTCGAATTTAGGTTGGAAATGAGTTTGATATGCAAGGTAACGAGCTTGCCAGTGGAACACATTTCCATAGGAAAGGTTATGTACCAGGAATCTTTCTGAAACAGAGGAAAAGGGCAATAGCATCAGAAAGCGGATCTCTTGGCTAATGACGCAAATGCTGTATACAAAGACTTCCCTTCCACAATAAATTTTGGATACCATTTCTACTTATGATAGATAGACATCTACAAAGTTCCTACTTACGCCTTGATAGTAAGCGTTGCTGGAATACAGCTTGGAACGTTGAACCCGATTTTAAACCCACTCCACTTCCGGCTTGAAGCACAATTTGGAGACAGTGGTCGGAGGAATATATCACCGGAAGTGAAAGCTGGCCGCAGAATTTTCCGATAGATTTCGATCTGTTACAACCGATGACTAACTCCACGTAAGTTCCGTGTGAGCAATGCGGCATTACACCCGTGAAGTCAAACAAAATGAAACGCAGCTCAACGTGGCGGGGTTTGTCAGCTTCTGTCAGCTGAATATTCCAGTTGCAGGTGTACCCTGAGGAGACGCTTTGCTTCGGGGGAAGTGTGGGGCTTGTTATTGTTCCATTTAGACGTGTTACGTTTGTGTGGCATCCTGCGACAGAAAAGACTTGTAAAGAGTCCTATAGTAGTATTTTTTTTTTTACATGTTATGGCAAGAGTAATGTCCTGAATATAGACATAACAGAAATTAACCTCTCTACATACTATATAGCTAGTTATGCAGTTAGCTCACGCTTTCGAGTGGTAAACCATGGAATATCCCACGAGTCACCTGTATTTTCTTGGTATACAAACAAGCCTTTATTTTATACTACGCCGTAGAAAATGCAGAGGCCAACAGAATCAAAGGGACACACGCGAGACACATGCATGATGGGAAGGTTGGATGCAATACCGCCGAATAGACAATAGCTTTCCTACATTCTGATTCGCTGTATTTTCTATGACATGGTATAAGAATACTTAAAACACTTATGTTATACGTATATTTTTATACCTTTTTTTTAAATTCAGACACGGAGGTTAATTCAGAAGTTATACCTAAAGAGCAAAGAAGTGGAACGAATGATATTGATGGCAGAATCTACTTTCTTTCTTGTTCAATTTTTTGGCCACCATATCGGTTCCCAAAGGAAGGACACCAACATGGCGGCTGGTATACTACTTGCTGCAATTTTCTCAAGATTATTTCTGCAATGAAGCGATTGCGAAAAACATTGCAAAGCTATAATTTAGACAGAACCATGTTTTTGACCTGTGCTGTGACCTATTTGTTCAGTCTGATGTTTAAAGCATTAAAACGTTTTTGTAAAGCTGATAAAAAACCAACAATATACGAACAGCAGAGAGTAAGTATTGCGTTCGTCGCTTTCATTTTCTATAATTTCATACCAAGACCTGCCATTTGTAAACCAAGTGAGAAATTTTATCTCTTCAACTGCTGGAGTATTGTCGAGGAAAGCCTTGTCTTATTGTTCTTCACGGTTTCGAAACGTTTTCTGGTGGAAAATAACAAAATTTAATAATAGTTGCATTTTAATATTAATGGTTTTTTTGTAATGACGTGCGTTTTTAAACTTGTTTTGGACGTTTTGCAAAACATTGCCCTTGACCGCATCGCCTTTGTCTTGCATTTTGTTTTCACAGCAAAACACATTAATACCTAAAAGTTTCAACTGAGCTAATTTATTTTCTTTAAATATTTACAGCGCCCAGTTCAAGAGTACATTATCGAGAAAGTCGCAATATCTTTGGATATCTTCAATGAAAAACGAAGCAACCGGTCCCTCTGTATTTGTTATGAGGCGAATTTTTCAAATGTCCTTATTACTTGCCAGATTCAGAATTGTGCAAATAAAAAAATCATGTAATAAAAACACCGTTCGCAGCTGTAAGAGTTTTCCTCCGCAGATGTCCCAGCAGGCAAAGCTTTTAGCTTATCAGCTGCAAAAGAAGAAGTTAGACCTTTTATGTTAGCTCATAAACAATGCATGTGTTAGAATGGATAAAGCACATTAACATACCTCGAGTTTCTGTGAACTGTCTCGTAAACGCAAAAGAAAAACAACTCAAAATGTAGATCAAACTCATAAGTGCCAACTTTCACTCCTCACGACAATGCATCTCGGTGAAATGAAATTCGTTTCCTAGAAAAAAAATCTTTGATGAGTTTTCATTATCTTGAGTAGATCTTAGAAAACTATCAGTCTCAAGACAAGCGCGAACGATTACTATTCAAGTGTAAAAGTTCCTTGTGAGTTCGAATTTTATGGTGTAATAGCGCTTATACATGGCTGACGTTTAATTTAAAATGTCATAATTTAGGCCCTTGTATTGATATTAAAGATTTTAGGGTTCCGATGGCATTTTTTAATATTAAAATTTCCTTCCGCTCAGTTTCGCCACTCTTCGCTCCGGACTGTTCTGTGTTTTTGTTTTTGTTGTGTAAATGTCTTCGTTCATACTTATTGGTATTCTTGTTTTTTACTCACAGGTACTCTTTTGTAAAAAGCTTTGCGTCTTTATCTCAGCTGCCTCAAGATTAAAGGGTATTTGAAAGAATTAAGCTAGCCTTTAGAGCTACATTGGTTTTTATGACAACGAATAATTCCGGTTAAAGTGCGCGCGATTTGTAAATCGAAAAGCGAAGGAAAAAAAGATTCACTCGATTAATAAAGAAGAAATCAAACACTTACTATCATTAAAGGCACCTCATCGAAGTTCCAACCCATGTCAACTTTATCCACTTATGATCCTTTCAGCTTCACTGGGAGAAAGTTCTATGTGTGGACAAATATGGGTTTAAATTATTCAACTCCCTTTTCACCCACGTCTACGCAAATGTTTCATCAGCGAAAATTGCTTTGTTCACAGAAACGCACTAAAATTTAACGACGTTAAATTGTTCATTGTAATGTTCTGTTGGAAGCTGATATACCTTGCGATTTTCTTTGGTATTTTGCAATTTCTGTGTATTATTTTAGCTTCCTTTATACAAGGTGGACACTTTTAAGTTGCTGTCGTCACATTTCCGAGTCTACAAATAAAGGAAGTATTTTTGTCGATTAATNTTACACGAGCTACGAAAACTTGATGAAGTAAGCTTACCGCCCGTTCACAATATTAATCATATTGAGAAGAACTTTTCGGTGAAAACGTATTCGTGGGTATTACTAACGCTGGACGTGACTGACAGTTTCCTGTGCCGACTTTTTTAAAATTTCCTGTTAATAGGGTCAAGAATCAATACAGATAATTTGCCTTGGACAATTCAATTCGGCACAAAACAATCATAGCGAGTGGTCGTGACAGTGTGATCGACAGCAGTGATGTCGCACCTCATTTGATGAGCTATATCAAAACACTTTTTTTAACAATTCACAATACATTTACCCTTCCCTTAGAACAAACTAAGCACTGTCTCTAATACTTCGAACAGTTGCAGAAAATGAACAACCGTGTGTAAACTGAGAGTCGTTTGAAAAACCAAGAAACTCAATAAAGGAACATTTTATTTATTCCGTTATAATATTTGAACGAACTATAAAAGTACTCAAAACATATATGACAATAAAGTTATGATAAATAGATTACCTGATATTTGATTTTGAGTGTATTTCGTTCAAAATTCTTATCATTAATTAGCTTAATATAGGATTTGTCATGTATGTACAATTATTTATGATGAGCAAAATTAGTTTTGAATGGATGGAAAATTCAAACTGATAATAATATTTTGCAAAGGCATACAAATACAAGAGAAATAATAAAAACCCCACAGTCACAGGACTGAAGATGACATTATTTTAACAAAATAAAAGATCAATTACAAGCGACAAAATAAGTTAAAATTGGTTCATACCTACATTGATTTTCAATATGCCTCAAATGATTCTCATTTTAGATTTATAAATTACTTTAATGTTCAGTTGAAATCATATAAGTAAGCTTTCATTAGAAATGAAGTAGAAAATAATCGGAAATTAAACTCATTTCAGTAGTTTGAAATGTGATCTAATGTCCACCGCAACACCAGGGCAGGGTTGTTTCTAAATTTTGCCAAGCCTGTAGAAACCCCTAGTGTAGACTTTCTCAAAGTCCTTCCCTCCACTACCTTCCCACGGTCTTTGCCCCTTGGGTTTGATCGTCGCGGAATTTTTTTTTTTTAGTTACGAGCTCGGCGTCAGAAGCTCGACTTCTGGGCAAGCCTCGATATTACTCCTAAAAAGTTCTTAGTACTGTAGTGCTCATCACAAGTAGCGTTCGTGACTACAGCCCGCTATGCATACGTTTGGCATTGACCTTCGAGAAATTTCGATCTTGCTACCGTGCAAAACACATGAACCCTGTAGCCGCAAACAAAAGTTGATGTTTACGTTTCGCAATTTTTACAAGTTTAAGATATGATTCTTCATGATCATCATTAAAAATAATGTCGATGTCTTAATCATGATAACGGCTTTAAGATTCCTGAAAACCATCCGTGTAACTATAATAATTTAGCTGCTTGTACAAGTTCTACTGGGTTTGATTGTTCCACCTGGCTGGAGATGTACACTGTATGTGATACCACATTTGACTGAGCAACTTTTATATGAAGTTAGCTTGGTTCTTTTAAGATAATCTAAAATACTGGTTTGGGCAATTGCTGGAGCCATGTTTCGATAACATCAAACTTGGCAATCTTTTCCGAGGGGTGATTTTTCCTTTTTCTTTCTTTGTCTATATCAGCGTTGGTCATGTTACTACAAGCGATCGACGAGACAGAATCGCAAAATGACCGCGCATCGTCGTCGACGTTCACGTCATCATGTAGAACTGAATTTACAGGACTGTTCACCAATTGCGTTGTTGGTGGCAAAGTTTGCAAGTCTAGCCTTTCGTTCTTATTGCCGTACTTTCTGTGAAACGAGTCATCCGTATTGTAAACTTGTTTTTGCGACACTCTTTCGACGCGGGTCGTCGGCTGCCTGATAAACTTTGGCTTTCTTTCGTTAAAGTCTTGATATCTGCCGTGAGCTGTTCGACCAAGAAGTCCCATGGCATCTGTGTCGCTGAAAGACTTCGAAGGCCTTTTCTCCGTTAATGCTTTAGGTCTTGGACTGGCACAAAGATGTCTAGAAAAGTCAAATGAATGTGTCCTTGTCTTAGAGAGACTTGAGAGATTCGAAGTAAAAGAGTCCTTCGAGTTCATTTTCGATCCCAAAGTTCACCAAGATCTTAGGTAGAACTTAAACTTGTTTATAACACGTTTGTAGAGTGGAAAATGTTTTCTCTATCACTATAAGTCAACGTAAAACACCCCATTAACGCGAAAAACCCCTATGAGCAGACAGTTATAAGGGCTTGCCACGTTCCTTTATTGCTAAGGCGTGTTTGAGAAGAATAGAACTGAATTAAATTAACAAGTGAACTCTTAACCAAAAAATGCACCAAACAAAAGAAGGTTCATTATTATGACACTGCCGAATCAGACTTTGTCTGCTTTGAAAACAGCTGGAGGAAATAATGGTAAACAAGGGACGAATTCCAATGGTGGTAAAATTTATGGTACGATTAAATTTACATTATGAGGTGTTCTACCTCATGAGTGATGATTGGTACGCCGTTTTCCTGAAAATTAGATTACTCATCATTACAAAACTTATAGCTCCAAGAAAGACTTTGTTGATTAATTTTCAAATGCTGAAGTTTGATTGCTGAATTCTGTCGTTATTTACGTGACCGAAGCCGCAAGTGGCCGTCATTGAGAGGCCATAATTGAAAGGCCATTCATTCTTCGAACTGCCCAGAGTCTTAACAATGGAAACAGGCGAAAATAAGCTCTCCGCAAACACAACTTCATATCTGAAGTGGACCAAAAGAAAAACAAAACAAAACAAAACAAAACAAAAAAAACAATCAAAAAATAAGTACAATAAAATAATTAACTAGGTTTTCAAGACAGTTCACGAGTAGTTATTCTATTCATTTATTTTTCCTTCTGTTGTTATTAAGTTTTTACTACTCATCTCAAGCATTGAAACATTTCGTTCCCTGGGTTCCTCATGGAAAAAAGTTAATTAATTTTGTTTCTCTAGGATCTCAATCTTCCCTGAGACGGAAGGACCAGTATCGTAGTAATTTATAACATAAAAGTCATGTTACCTAACAAAGACTTTTGGTTGATCCACGTACAACGACAGCCTGTCGGTCATTACCCTCTGACGTCATGAATTGGCAGGAAAAAATTTTTCTTGATAACGCTGGTTCTAACTAGCGACGGACTCGTAGACGAATTCGGAGTCGTGAGAGAACTTATGACTTCGTGAAAATAAAAAAATCGGAGTAGTAAGCATGCAGAGTCATAAGCTTCACGGAATCGGAGTCGGCAGTATTAGAGTCAGCAGTATCAAATTCCGTGTACGACTCTGTCGCTTATGATTCAGCAAATCCAGTGAAACTTGGATTGTCGGAGTCGGAAGCAGAAGAGGAGGACCCTACCAATTACAATGCCTGGAATCGAGCATTGTGATTGGTTTATTTCTTCGGCTACTGCTTCTGACTCCCACAACGTAGTTTTCACTAGATCTAGATTATAAGCGACGGACTCCAGCATAAGCAGAACCGTTACTCTGCTTCCGACTCCGTCAGTTTGATTTTCAATAGATCGTATCACTTTGCGCCTCCTATTACGACCCCCACGGCGACTTCGTCGCTAATGGAAACCAACCGATGAAGCGCCCGCTGACAGCGAAAACGTCCAGCTATATATAAAACAACATAGTTTACTAGACTGGAACGTTTAATCAACGGCTGACAAGCTTTTAAACCGCAAACACCACAAAAATACTTCTGAGTAATTAAATACGACCATGATCAATCGAACTTCACTTTTGCTCTTTTGCATTTGGCTCGACTCACGTGAAGTTCGACGTTTGACCTTGGCATGAATTTAGGTTATTATTAGCCTATGTGGCAATAACTGTTATTCTGGAATCATCAGATGATCAATTCTGAGGTGTTAAAAGCGAGACATTGAAGGCCCTTGGATATGCTTGGTGATTTTATAAAGAGGGTCTATTGTAGGGACTTGGGCAAGACATTCACAGTGCCTCTGTCCATCCATACAGGTGTGTAAATGCGTGTACTGGTGAATTTAATGCTAGGGTTAACCCAGCGATGGATTAGCCTCTCATCCAGGGGGGAAGTAGAAATACTCCTAGCCGCTTCATGCCACAGAAATCGGGATAAGCTCCGGACTGATTGGCCACTTGGCTCGTATGCAGACTCTATTAAAAGGAGTCGTACATTCCGGCCGCAAACCGTCACATTTCGTTCCTTCGCCGAAAAAAGAAGCAGCTTCCGTTTTCTCCTAAAAACCGACACCACCCTACTAGTGGGACGATTGTCATCATAACCAATCCTTTATAAGTACGCAACAAATTCTTTACCATGTATGTCAACTCAATAATCGTATCTCTCCTCACTGCAACCACATGATCACAAATTGTTTCTAACTCCATTTAGTAACCAGCGAACAAAACGTTTTGACGTCTGATGGGCTGTTCACAGACTCAAAGTTTGCTCTCGAGACGTCTGAATGACCGCCACAAAAAAACGAAACAAAAACAAAAACAAAAACAAAAACAAAAACAAAAACAAAAACAAAAACAAAAACAAAAACAAAAACAAAAACAAAAACACAGAAACCGAGAACCGCGAGCTAAATTTATGATTTCCCGCAACCGCGCGATAATTTCACAACTGTAGAACGCCAGCTAAGTGTGAATGTACCCGCAAACCGGCACTCAAAAGTAGCTTAAACCGTCAAACTGTCAGAGTATAATAGACCCTCTATAAAGATAAGATTTTTTATACATCAAGATTTGTTTTTCAAAAGAAACAGATTTACATATCTTAGTTTCAGCAAGAGATCACAATCTCTTGGTTTCAATGTATAATTAATTGTTCCTAGTGAGTCTTTGTTTCAAAAGTAAACTTATAAATGTAAGGAACCTTGCACTTTTTTGTAAGTGCTTAATCCATGCTTTACAGAAAGTCGCTTGCTATTATTTTGTATTTGTAAATAATGGCACTATTTGTCAAATCACGCGTACATAGCCTCAACTTGCAAGCGCAACAAACCGTTCTCCCCCTGGTTTATCATCAGCTACTTAACTCCGTTACCGACGAAAATACAGTGTGAATTTCAAACGTTCTTCACGGCAATTGTTGCCCGTGTTTAATTCTCCTTATCTATCTGAACTTGATTTGCTCTGTAATAGGTAAGTATTTTCCATTGAAGCGTTTAAGATTATTTTTACTCGTATGTGATGTTTTGATGTAAAGATTTTGATTGCTAATATTGAGCAATACAAAATACAAATTCAATATCGCTCGTAATTAGCATGACTGAACTTTGCATTCTGATGAAGTTATTTTTGGCGAAAGGGAAAATCAGCATTCAAGTGGAGAGTTCATTGAAATAAATAATGCCAGACTCTGGAAGTTTTTAGAGTTCTCTTATAATTAGCGGGCCTTATATTGTATAGATTTTTATGGTATTGATTTTAATTGCGCTTTTATAAGACTGATGAAGGCATTTTCTTTATAACAGCTCATGACTAAAATTTCGCTTAATTTGAAACTTACTCAGTGTCTTATTTAATCATTGCTTAATAATATTATTTTGCATTAGTGAAACTAAAGTGGCGAGTTAACAGCCCTTAGAGAAAAAAAAGAATTAACTTAAATCTGTGCTTTCACGAATTGTCAAGTGCATTCCGTTTTCTGCATGGTATCAAGGTATAAGCATTCTATTGCATGTCTTCCTCTATCATGTTTAGTTGTACAGTTTAACTAGTCCCACTTTAAACATTAAAAGCCTTGTGTCCATTGGCGATTTTCGACCTTCTTATTTGCGAGAGAACCACTACGAACACGTGAAATAGGGGTTAAAAAATTGTTATTCAGTTCACCGCTTGATCCAGAATTACAGCTCGGAAGAGCCGGGGAATCTGTTTTGTCTACCCTCAAAACGGGCAAACTTATTCGTCTCTGCCGGGGTCCCTGATTCACACTCATTTTACCTCCGTTGTTTTCGAACATCCATCCATTGACCTCGGTTTTCGTCAACGCTGTAGTGGTGCCCTTCTTTGCTGCACCAGGCTCCTTGGTGAATACAGGCATGCGTGCCTCTAAGTTCACCTCTCGTTTTGCCACCTCCACTCGTCCGCCTTCAAGAAATTGGTCACGTTTTAACGCCACAGAAGAAGGCAGTGAGGTTTTCCTTCGACGAGGTAATCCGACAAATCCTGCATTAGCAGCGCTTGTCACGTCCTGAGTGCTTCTCGGCGCATCATTGGGCGATGCGTCTTTTGAGATAGCAGGATTTATGGCGTGTCTGGGAACATGACCACAAGTTGAATGCCTCCGAGCGCGGGTTGACTCTCCCTTAGTAGAGCTTTTCGCCTCGTTAGTTTGTTCTTTACACTCGTTGAAGCTCGACATTCTCGCTGACACGGTGAAATATTCGTGCTCGTTACATTGAACTGTTTTGATCTATTGCTGCCAAAGTTTACAACGAGGAACACGAATTAATTTCGTCACGGACAACTTGGCCCTTTTATTGTGCTTGCCGCCGGCTATGGAAAACATCAATTTATTTGAACTGAATTGTCTACCACTGTGATGGCTCAGTGTGTATGAAAGTTTGAAAACATTTTAAGTTTGAAACGGGCTATTAAACACACAGGAAACCATGGGCTAAAACTTAAAGTGCTGCTACAATGGACTCCCTGTGAGAGAAAACTTCAATGTCTCTGGAACGCAAATTTGACGCTCAACATTTTAGTTGGTGTAATTGATGATTTCACTGCGGGTCAAACTGTCTGGCTCCATCGACAGCAGATGCAGTAATCCACTTTTGGATAGCAACATAGTTGTAAAGTTTGTAACATTGTTGAAACGTGCAATTGGCACGGATGGAAAGAGCTGTCGGTGGAAGATATGCATTTAAGTGATGCAAGTTTGGGTGATTTTGCTGCATATATTTACTGCGTTGTTTTCGTAGTCTTCTTCACAGCTGAAACCTTCAAATTATTATATGCATGCGCGCTCATGATGGGTACAAAAAATACTATCGTTTGTAAGACGAGTTACCATGGTAACAGTATCAACAGCCAAAATAGCCCTATTTTCAACTTTCATGAATCCAATTTGGCGATAAAGATTGTCACATACAAGACAAAACATGGACTTCAATAAGGTTTGACATACTGGAGGTGTGGATTAATAGCTAAAAAGCGTAAAAATATTGCTTTCATTTTATACTTTATGCCTCAACAACTACACATATAAAAGTACTAGCTAAAGAGGGTAGGAATGAATGAATGAATGAATTGCCTTCACTACACAACCGAACACACTAAAAGGTTGAGGCATGGGAGCGTTGGTCAGCAAGGCCCAAGATATGTTTTAATTGAGACAAAAAACTTACAACAAAGTGGATAAGAGATACATCAAAATGCAATCCTACCTGCACGAAAGCCGGACACGTTAAGCCCCAAAACCTCTTATTAGGAAAAATAGGGACCGTGTACCCCCGACCAAATGCAGTGGCGCCACTTTTGGGGTTGTAAGGTTGATCTATAAATAACAGAATGAACGACAGATAACGCTATTAACGCACTAAAAATAAACCTATTGCGAAAGTGCTAGAGGCAAGGCTGACCGTTTTTTTTTACAAAAGTACTAGCCATGAGCCCACACGTACTACGCTCGAACCCTCTTCTCTAGTCTGTGTCCGCTGTCGGCGAAATATTAATTAATGTCAATACCGATTATCACTGACAAATTACATAAAGGGCTGACTGCGTCTGATCGCATTTGAAATTTGTCTTCCGTCAAAGCAAACGACTGTAGAGGGAACTTTATAACGCTCGCAACCTTTGGTGGGTAGGCAAACGACAGGGGCAAGAAAGAAAAATGTTTTGTATTGTTATTGTGAAAAATGAACATTTGACGGTTGCTATTTTGAACTTTAATGTATGCACACTACTTCTCAGGGATATTTAATTCAGCTTCCCTTTGGTGATAGCGATTTTTCTTTTGTTATTGAAACTATTGTTTTTTCGTTTGAATTTAAGTTTAAATAGCTTATTCTGTTATACTTTTACTTTTGTGTGTGTAACCCTCGGTGATTGATTANCGATTTTTCTTTTGTTATTGAAACTATTGTTTTTTCGTTTGAATTTAAGTTTAAATAGCTTATTCTGTTATACTTTTACTTTTGTGTGTGTAACCCTCGGTGATTGATTAAAAGGGTTGTTTAACGTTGGGAAAATCAATATTTTTACCACAATTGCTACTAATCTCGCAATCTGATTGGCTAGCTTGCCGTTGTCGATAAGAGTCCAGACAACGCTGCTCGCGTCAATGCGTCACGCTCTGAAAAAACAAAAAAAACAAAAACAGTTCTTTGACGTTGTGGTTGACGTTGTGTTGACGTTGTGGACTCATTCGGCTGCGCCTCCAACCTCGTTCCCAGGGTCATCTCTCTACCTCGAGAAAGTACTCTGGTTGCGGCTGGTCACGTGTCTGCTAGATTTTAGCAGATTCCAGGGATGTGATTGAAGGGAGGGGCTGGAAAGTTAAAGTTTGTCTCAGCACTGAACTTGCCTACTGAACCCAGTAGGGAGTGGAATATGTAACCCTCCCGTTGTGGATCGGCAAAAATCACAGCGAAGGCATTGACACATTCAATATACGAATTCAGTGCGTTCAATGTTCGGCTAAAAGATTAGCTCTGCATTTAGCTGAATTTTCCCCGTCGATAGTAGGACAGTCTTTGGAATTTGTGGCAGTGAAAAAATTTGGCAAAGAACTTGGAAATGACGACCACCACAATAAATGGAAAACGTTTTAATTAATACACCTTCGGGTTAAGACGTCACCCCGAAACCAACACACAGCCGGGTGCTTTGATCATGGAACCAATAAGAGAAGTGAATATAATACACAGTAATTTGACAAGTTCTTGTATTGTGCATCAATGATAGGGAAACAGAGAGAAATAAACAAGTAATCTAACTGAAAGTCGCCAACACTTCATAACAAGGTAAAAGCAAGCGGCTGAAAAAAAAAAAATTAAGAACGGAAAAAAGAAAGAAATAAAGAACGCAAAATAAGGGTTGTAGTCAGCGTGTCTATGTATCTGAAATAAATGTCAAACCTATCCAGCAATTCACAGCCATTTGACCTATTTTTAGGTAAATGGCCTTCCTTAATGTTAGTGCATGGAGTCACGTATCTATATCATGCTGAGCTTATAATTATGCTTTTTCCTCAGCTGAAGTTCCCTTCATTGCATCTAAAGCAAAAACAGGAACAACTTGACAAATGTTCTTAATTGATGTATTTTCTTATGCCGGTGAGAGGCGGTGAGATCGCTTACTAAACCATTCCAACTTTGGGGGCGTACCGCATAAAATGTGCCATTTTCTCTTAACTTCATTAGTGATTTACACCTCATACTTTTGAAGGCAATTAAGAGTGCACGCATGATTGATAAAATTCTGTTGTGTTTCTTGTAAATGTGAATATTCACCTTACATTGCAGTGAAGGATTACATCACTCAAGTAGTAGGCCAAGTAAACACTTAAGAAAACTGTTTTTTACAAACCAACACATCCCTTCATGTTCAGTCTTTTATTAAGTGAACTAAGAAAAACGTTTGAGAGCGAAGCATCTCAAGGCAGGAATAGGCCAATCTCGGTTAATTAAAATTCTAACTTGGCTCAGAGGGCAAGATAAACAAAACAAAAGCAATTAATAAGTCTCGAGGCCCGGTTAGAATTTTAACATATCAAAATTTGTCTGTCGTATAAACTGCCGCCTACAAGCCCTGCGCTTGTACAACTTCGTAAGGGTTTTGGGAAAATTTGAGGGGGGAAGGCAAAGAGAGTAAATTATGGTGAATTGGAAAATAGATAATCGAGGTTTGAAGCAAATACTGCGGCTTGGGATTGTAGAGGAATATGGTAGCTTGAAATCGTGTATATAAAAATGTTACAGAATACTTTTGCATCCTGGCCTGAATTATTCGTTGTAAGAAAATGACTTTCTCGTCACAACCTCTTCAGTATATAGTTTGGACGCGGCGCTCAGGACCTCGCGGTCTGGGACCAGCTGATCGTTCAGTTTCCGGAAGGTGTTCATAGTTCACTACCGATTTATTACTCTGCATGTGACTCGCAGCAACGACCTTTTCTCAAACCAAAGAAAGAAAAATAAAAATTTTGGTACCGTCAACTGTAGTCATATTCAGCCACTTTGCCAGCTTTACCAGATCGGAGGATTACATAACAAGCTCTTTACAATGACTACATGACAAGTGATATCCACAATAAGCTTACATAACAAATAAAGAACAGTCGACAGACAAGCAAACTTGTTAAACAGGTTTTTGAATGCTATTTTGACAACGTTTCGTATCATCGTTAAATCGTGACTGTCCTCGCAACACTGATTCTGTAGTCTCTTTCTCGTTTGGTACAGGGAGTCTAGTCCAGCTTTCAAAATAGCTTGAACTGAAATGTGGTCGTTTTAATGGCAATTCAACGTCGGAAATATTCATTTGTTCGCGGTCTATTTGTAATGCTAAAATGGTACTTTCTAGTCCTTGTGCTTAAGTGTTTCTAGGCTATAAATGTTCATTTCCAAATATTGGAAATTCAAGATTTGGAATCTTGACTTTGCAAATCCTGAATTTTCAAAATTTGACAAATATAATCTTGGATTTCCAAATATTCTTTTAAATTTTCAATATTTGGCAAGCCAAGAAAAGGCAGAATTTCGAAATCTTGAGTTTTCAATATTTGGAAAGCCAAATATATTGAATTCCGAAACTTGAATTTTCAATATTTCGCGGGTCAAACATTAAACTTTCAAGTCTTTAACTTCCAAGATTTGGCCTGCCAAAAAATTGAAAATTCAAGATTTGGATTGCCAAATATTAAAAATTCAAGTTCCCCATTTGAATTTTGCGAAAAATTTCCTTATTTGAATTTGCTATCCACATTTCATTTGGACAGTAAAAGTTTGGCTTGCCAAATATTGAAATTCAAGATTCTGCATGCCGAATTTTGAAAATTCAAGATTTGGAATCATGGGTATGCAAATCTTTAATTTTCAATCTTCGACAAATCAAATCTTGGATTTCCAAATATTTTGTTAAATTTTCAATATTTGGCAAGCCAAACGAAGAAAGACTGAATTTCGAAATCTTGAGTTTTCAATATTTGGAAGGCCAAATATTGAATTCCGAATTCGCGAGTTAATTCTTATTTGTGGAATCAGAACACTATCTTTTTCCGTGTTCATTATTTTGTTTCGATGTGGAAGTCTTATTGCTCTTTTGGTTATGTAATTACGTCTCGGGTGAGTAAATGAGTAAGAATTTAATTAGCAACTCGTAATCTTGGCCAAACCCCAAAATAAATGTTCTTTCTGAAACTTTACGAACAACCTTGAAACCTCTACGTCAAGAAACAACTTGACCTTGTTATTCACGTGTTAACTTTTGTCTATATAATGAGCACGTACAAACTGTTGTTTCCTCGATATTCATTGTTTCATTTCAAGGCGCGATTGTCACTGCTTAAGGAGCTTTTATGTGTCACAGAGTAGCAGAAGTTTCGAGAAGAGCAACAGCTGCAAGTTTCGAATTTTTGCCGAATGCGTCATCTGGCAATTAACAATCAAACTCGCAGTCGTTTTGCGAGGAACATGTTCTTGTTAGGGCCGGGTGGGAGTCTTCTTTCGCTCAGTTGTACTTGAGTGAGTAGTTTCTGAGAAACTCACAACCTTTCAAACCGATGAAGGTCAGCGAATAAACTCACGAATAAACTCACGTCTCGCTAAACTCTTCTTGCACAACCAGGTCACTTTTTGAAAATCAAACTTTCTAATTTAGTTCATTTAATCGCCCGATTGTTTAAAGTCATCACGCGATCAAGT